GCTCGCGCGTATGCCTGGCGGGCCCGGTCCGAGCGCGGCCACGACGACGGATCGGGCAGCAGCAGCGATGAGTCCGACGAGAGGACCTTCGGATGCTACGTCTGCTGCCGGCCGAAGCGAAATCGCACCAGACCAAAGCCGAAGCGTAACTTGTTCCGCAACTTCTTCGATCGGGCCTTCGAGAGCTGCTTCGGCCAACCTGAGAACGACGAGTTCAGAGTCCCGCACAGTCCCAAGGTCACGACGATTCCTATGGTGGAGACTTGCAGACCGATGTGCCTGGAAACCCAGGAGCAGCGCTTCCAGATGCGCGAGCAGAGGAAGCGCAGCCAGCTCATCGACAGGCAGCTACAGGAGGAGAAGATGGGTTACACGTGTACGCACCGCCTGCTGCTTCTAGGTAACGCGGCGGACTCTGCCCGTGGGGAGCAGGGCCGCCCGGGACCCGGGAAGGGGTGGAAGGGTTGCCCGTGGGGCGCAGGGCCTAGCGGCGGGAGGAGGGTTTCTGGGCAAAGGCCAGAAGAGCCTGCTAGGAAGTTCCAGCGAGGGCCCTAACTTTGCCCCGGGAGTGGGGGGCTGGGGGAGGCCTCGGGTGGGCTGGGGTGGCCGGAGTATATGCCCTCCAGGGAGAAAGAGGTGGTGTACAACACTGGGGGTCGTTTCCAGCTGGACAAACCAGCGCCAGAGGCGATAGGGCCAGCGACCATAGGACGACCCCAAATCCTGGGGTGGGGGACGGCAAGAAAGGCGGGGGCCTCAGGTGAGCCAGGAACTGCCGGGGAGGGGCCTCGGGGTTCCCCGGCTAAGCTGTTTGTGGCCGTGGTGGGATGGGGTCGTTGGGAAAGGCGCGCCCCGCCTCGCCTGGCACGGCTGCTTGGACTCAGACAGCTTGTCGTTGGTGTGTGTTGGTGTCCATATTGTGTCCGCCTGTGCATGATCTGCGCTCCAGTGTTCCCCAGTTCCCATCCCTGGCACCCCCAATTCACCCGCCGACTGTGTACTTGTACGGGGAATGGGCTGTCTTGTGTTGTGCGCCATGGCGCGGGCAAAAACTTTCCGCGTCCGCACTCCCTGGTGGTACCTGTGAGCTGGCGCTCTGCAGCGGGCGGCACGGAAAATGCAGAGCAGGCTGTGGGACATCTTGGTAATGTGTTGGGCACCTCGCGCAGGGGAAGGGGGCCGCCCCCTGATGGCCTCCATAACCTTTTTTTCTATATGTCTTTCTCTCTTTTTTCCCTTTGCGCTAAGCGTTTCCTCTCTTCTCGTTCGCTCGCCAAACCCTCCCGCCTTTACGGTTGAAAAAACCACTCAGGTATCTGGGGCGTCAGGGGCTGCACACATAAGTTCGGTATTCTGCACACACTCGGCTCACCTGGTGGGGGGAGGGTGGGGTGGGGGAGGGGAAAGCACACCAACCTGCTCTAGGCAAGTCTGGATCCAAACCACACGGGGTTGGTTCCGAGGGGCGGGGGCGTGGCTTTTAAAAACATGAAATAATTTCCCCCCCCCTACGGACGAGCCCGAGGTAAGCCAATCATTTACACTTTCACACTCATGCAGTAGGAGGGGCTTAGTTAAAAGAGGGGTGCGTTGGGAGTGGACTGCAGTCGTGTTTAAAATGCAATTAAAATAAATCATTTTTTAAAATGTTCCGAGTGTATTTTAAGTGTTTGGACAAAATGTGATAACATTGACTATGACTTGTGAAATCTGTAAATGTCTGCATGTGAATCTTTTCAGGCAGCTTTAGCTGGGGGCAAAGAGGCTCAAAGGTAAGATCCTCTGCAAGTGGGCTGGTGATGAAAAAAAATTAAAAAGGTCTTGTGTTCATAATCATATTAGAAGGGTATCTTTCGGGGCCCTCTGCCTGCCCCTTTGCTTTGGGGTGGGGGCCCCACACCTCCCACCACAACAAGACCCCTCCCTTATTTTCAAATCCTTCCTGGCCCCTCCCAGTCTCCACCCCCTTTGCCTCCTCAGCCTCCTTTAGCTCAAACCTGGAGCATTGACCCTTTGTGCCACAGTTAATCACAGCAGTAATTAGCAATGGTCTGAATGTGTGGCTTAAATGAAAATTCCAAAGTGAATTTCTTTATTTTATTCTCTAAGACCTTTCAAGGGATTTAACGATCACCATTTCTCAGGCTTTGCTAAACGTTTGCTAAGTATTTTATAATGTGTCCTGGTTTTAATTAATGACGTTACGGACGTGGCTGTATGCTGTTGTGATGTGCATCTCTCACAAATCACAGTGTTGAATGTGATGGTCATTGCTGCCCACCCACAGAGATAATGACATCATCATTTCCCCAAGAACATGGAGGAGAGGGAGCTTAAATTTCTGATGTTCCACTGCACCAAAGCCACTGAGCCTCCAATGACAATACCCTGTTTTCCTGCAAACAGCTGGTTTTGCCACAATAGTCCCATTTCAATATTCCAAGCATCGCTCTGGGGAGCAAACCCATGATGGGGAAGGGAGACACAATTGGGTCAAGACAGGAGAGTCAGTTACAGTGTGCACTTGGCCCTAGTGGGCAGTATCCCTTGCCTTCTGGGGCCTCAGTTGCCTAATTTGTGAAATGTCTATTTGAATGGGGGAGGGAGGGTGCAGAGCCAGGAGCACAGTCCACTCGAATCAGCACTGGAGGCTTATACCATAGATGATGCAAACATCAATCCAGTAGCAAATGGTCTATGTCTGAGGCAGAGTCTTCAGAATATTAGAAGTTCCCTTGATTTGTATTGGGGGGCAGGCGGCATGTTAACCTTAATCACAGGAAATTTGCCATCATCCTGGCTCTGCTTCCAGGGTGGTGGTCCAGCAGACCCACCTCAGCCACAGGTAGCATGACCCTAAATCAGAGAGCCAGGCTTATGGTTTCTGACCAGGTTTCATTTTGCCCAAGTGCCAAGAGAGGTACCCCATCTGGGTCTGAGTTACTCACTGGGGAGGGGGAGAGTAGGGAGAATGAGGCCTTACATTTAGAACAAGCCTTTTACTAACATTCTATTCCTAACACATAAAACAAGACATCCATCTTCCTGCCACTGAACATGCAGAACAAATGACCATCCTTTGATGTGGCTCTGAATTTGTGACACGCAGATTCATCTGTGGCTTTAAAAATGTGTGTGTGCATTTGTATATATGTACCCCTCTGTGTTTTTATTGCCCGAACAGCTTAACATTACAGGGATTTTTAAAAAACTATAGCTGACATACTATATTAATTCCAGTTCTGCTACATAGTGATTTGACACTTATATCCCTTACAGAGTGATCATCACAAAAAACCTAGTAACCATCTATCACCATACAAAGTTATTACCATATTATTGACTATGTTCCCTCTGCTGTATTCAGGGAACCTTAAAGGAGAAAAGATAGGTAGGTAGGTAAGTAGGTAGGTAGAAAGAATCAATGACATGACTAGAATATCTAAAGTGTTGAAGCTTTTTTTAATTCAACACTAGCCAATAATAGACTGTTTCCATGTTTCTGTTGCCCTTTTGGATAATTTTGGTGGCTTTACCATTTTTTGGAACCTAAATTTCCTCATGTCTTAGGAATTGAAGGGGCTGCTATATTAGAATTTCTTAGTAGCTGCTGTATTTATTAAAATTGTGCAGACAAAACGCTCTATGTACTAATGGCCATTCTGCCATGATGCTTTATTTATACAGTGAGTCTCAATTAATTGATGACTTATTTATGGTACCAGCCACCAGGTGCAACAGTGCTGCATTGCAGCCATCTTGTAGGAGGCCTTTTTTTTTTTTTCTCAATACACCCATTTTTCTGTATTCAAAATGCTCCATTGAGCTGTTTGGTGCCATGGAGAGGATATGGCCTATCTGGCGACAACACTGTTAGAATTAAGCAAGACTTTTATTATTTTCCCTCCTCTGTCTCTCTATAGTAGTTCGTGCTTCTCAAAGGCCGAAGTTCTTTCCTGTGTTTTAAAATCCAATTTCCCCTAGATTTCTCTCAAACAAAAATGTGTGTTTTTTCTATATAGGTATGTTAGGTTTTATAATTCATCCACATTATATACCATGAAAAACTGGTATGAAGCTGTTTTGTGTGTCCCCTCCTGACCCCACAGAAGAGGATACACAATGGCCCTGGAGTTCTTAGTAACCAGTAATAGCAATGATTCTGCATAATGACAACACATTCTCATTGTATTTTTTTAAAAAGCCTTTCATGGAGTCACATTTGTCCTTTGAAACAGCCTTGGGCAATAAAAACACGCTAGGACCCCATTTCATAGGCAAATCAGAGATTGAATGTCAGGGACTTTTGCTCAAGGACTGCAAGGTAAGTGAAGGAATCCATGCTTATCCAACAACGTGGCAGTAGCTGTATCGCATTATTAAATGTACAGCATGATTGCAAGTGTACTGTGTGCTCTTAAAATCCCTTGTCAGATGACAGGTGACCAGCAGTCTTCTGCTTTCTGATTTACAGCCAAAGCCTGACAGATTCCTGGTTATAAATGTCCATGGAGTGTATGTGAAACGAGAGCTCCCCCATTCCAGAGACACCTGTCATTGCTATGGTGAGATCTAGTTTCCACCATTTGCTTTAGCTCATCAGCCAACACTGCAGTCTTAGCTCATCTGTTGGGCTTTTTTTTTCTTTTTCTTTTAAATGCAGGTTTTCTTCTGACTCTTTTTAAAATCCCCCTGTGGTTTTCTTCAGGATCTAAAGCTTTCCCACTGACTAAGGTTTCCACTAATAATAATAATAATTTTAAAATGGGGTTGTTTTTATGCATTCTTCCTTACATTTTTAGTGTTCTGGTATAATAGACTATTTAGAAGCCTGCTTTGGATCTAATGACCCTATTAAAATAACTGTTGCTCAGAGTCCTTTGGAGTGATTTTTTAAAAAGTATTTCTTCCTCTTAGTAAGGGCTAATTCCTGCTTAGTGAGAGTCAGTGCATAATCTTAGAAATCACCTTTGATTTTTATGCAGGAAGGTCGGTATTAAGCAAGAAAATAAATTTCTTTTTAGGAAGATAAACTAATTGACTAGATTTGAAATTCTCCACACTGGCCATG